CAAATTAAATTGCTTATATTTGCTCAACAACCCGTGCGTGTCCTTGGGGAGGCAAAATAACTATACCACAGCCACGGCAGTACTGCCAAGCTCCTGTTCCAGCTCTGAGCTATGCTGAAAGCAGTGATATGGGCCACTCCATCCTCATGGCAGCAGCTCCAAAGTGAGTCCTCAGGGCAACCATCTCGGCAGCATCCTCAGTGGTGCCCACTGCATTTGCAGGGGGAGTTGGATGCAGTGTGCCTGCAAATTAGTGTAGGAAATCCCTGGGTGACACCATCTGTGTATTCCTAGTTCACCAGTGAATGTCTGCGCATGATAACCCGCCGGCATTGTGTTGGAGGCAGCATTGCCTCATTCACTGAGGAAAAACTTCTTTACAGAAAGAATTGTTAAGCACTGGAATAGGCTCCCCAGGGAAGCCGTTGAGTCACCATCCCTGGATGTGTTTAAAAACCATTTGGATGTGGTGCTCAGGGCCATGATTTAGCAGAGGGTTGTTGGGGTCGTTTGGTTGTGGTTGGACTTGATGATCTTTCAAGGTCTCTTCCTTTTCCAACCTGAGCGTTTCTCGGATTCCATTGGAGCTCTTCTTTCTCCCTCTTCTCCTTCAGGCAAAGAAGGGCTATCAGAAGACTGTCCTGGAAATCAACACGCCCAAGGTCGAGCAAGTGCCTGTCGTCGACATCATGTTCAATGACTTCGGAGAAGCGTCACAGAAATTTGGATTCGAGGTGGGACCAGCTTGCTTCATGGGCTAAGAGCCACCTGAAAACTAGTCTCCAAATGAGCAACCTCGTAACCTCATTGCGCCATTTAATTAATTAAAAAAGAAAAGAAGAAGAAAGAGAAAAAAAAAGAAAAAAAAAAAAAAAAAAAAAAAAGAAGAGTTCCTCGTCGTCACATGCACGTTCTGAAACTGGACAGCGATGGGTTCTTTCCTTTTCGTTTTGTTTTGTGCTTCGTTTTGCCCCAGTTCCTCTGTGCCGCGGCACCCGCGCAGAATCGCATGACCTGACGCTGCCCACGTGGCCCATGGACCTGCCCTGTGTGTCCTGAGGTGGAAACGCATCCGAGACTTCTTCTCTCCTTCAGATGATGCCAAGTGCTTCTCTGCAGGTTGTTGTTTGTTCGTTTCTAAGGAAAAAATGGATAATAACTTGAAACTCCCGCGCTCAGCTTGACGTTGAATCCCGGCTCTCATGCGAACCCTGCTGAAGTTCTTTATGGTCATCTCAGTGACTTCTGTGAGATTTGCATCGGGTCTAGCAAGCAGATATAATGGCCGTTTCCAGAATCTGTAGGATCTTCATAGAATCACCTAATCCCACTTCTTACAAAATCTAACCCGACCGATTCGATCGCTAAAAGCCACCCTGGGCATCTCTTTCCCATGTCTTAAAGGTGCTTATATTTTTGTATGTTTGTAAGTAAATATTTGTATTGTATATTATTTGAAATGTTCCCACGTTCCTGGCTTCAAAACATGCATGTGACCCCACCTGACTGCTGCCAACCCACGGGGGGATGCAGCTGAAGCCATGCCCCCGCAGCCACTGATGCCTTTGGAACGATGTGCTTCAAAATAAGGAAAGCAAAGCCTCTTTTTGCTACAGAGCCCTACAAAGCAGGCTGCAGTTTGCATCTCTGCCTCTTTGTGCCCCTGCTTCACCTTCATGTATGTGTTTTAAGTTAATTCTTCTCGCCTCCGTGTTTCCTTCAGCGTTCTTTTAAAATAATAATAATTTTAAAAAATTAAAAAAAAATAATAATAATCTGTTCCCAGTGGCAGATTGCAGTGGCAGGGAAGATCCATTTGTCCTCTTGGGATATTGAGTGTAAAACAACAAAAAAAAAAAAAAAAAGGAGAGGGAAAAAAAAAAAAAAGGTGCTGTTTTGTTTTTACATGTCTCTTCGTGGTGCTATCTATCCGAGTAACGTTAACACTGCACTGGTTGGACTCTGCCATTGGCCAATCTCCCACTGACCGCCGCTTCAGCTGTTTCCAACACAGGCTGCACACTTCTGCTCCGGTCTCTGGTTATAAATGCATGCCAGCTTCATATTTGCTATGCAGAAGATCTCTTGTTTGCATTACGGGTGCTTGCAGGGCCCGCGTAGGACGTATTAAAAGTGCTTACGCCTTTTCAGAAAGCATTCATGCATTTATACGGCCGTGATCACACCAGGCCGTGTCGGTGGCTGAATGTTTGTGGTGCTAATTGATGTCATTGTCGTGAGGACGGAGCTGTGTGTGCCATTCTCTTCCCGTGGTGGCTGCCAGGATGGCTTTCTGTCCCACTCAGCATTTCCAAATCACAGCCCTCTGCCACCCCATTCCTTCTCCATGTGTTGCTTCGTTTTTTCTCCCTGGCTGTTTCCTTGTGTAGATCTCTTGGCTGGAAAATTTGATGTTGCAGGGGATTTTTGTAATTAATATTATTATTTGGCCTGGAGTGTTACAGTTGAGCCGGGGGGGGGGAGCGGGAGGGGAGTCTGTCACCATAAAGGAAAGGACATCACATTTACTGTGAAAGAAGGCAACATATGATGTCTTTTCCCCCCTCCTTCCCTAGCAGAGAGCAGCAGCGCCCAAGGGAGGGAGCGAGGCGGGAGCTGCGATGCTGCACGGTGCTTTCGGGTCTGCAAAAGCCGTGTCCATCCATCTCCCTTCTTGTGTTCTGTCTAATTACTATTCATTTCTATTTTTCCTTTTTCCACCTGCGGGGGGGGGGGAAAAAAAACCTCAAAAGGTGCTACCCTAAAACTGCAGACTCCAGCAGCAAAGCAGTGAAAACGAGGATACATACAGTGATCTGATGCCTGCTCACCTTGGCACGAGCCTTGGCTGGGAGCATTGGGAAGGTCGAGGAGGTTGCACGTTCCTGTCTGCAACAGATAAGCCATATCTTGATGTGTGTGCACACGTGTGCGTCTGCCTAGGTCATGTGATTCTGTTCTGATGAATTCTCATCAAGGGAGCTTTTTTTTTCTTTTTTTTTTTTTTTTTTTTTTTTTCCTTTTATTTCCTTGCTTTAAGAAGAAGAAGAAGAAAAAAAATAAAGAAATAATTCCTCTGTTGAATTCCACAGTGTTGTAATTGTACTGAGCTCCAAACTGTTCCGATTCCCCCAGACCACTTAGCTACGGTATTATTGCAATAAAATTACTACTTGTATTTGCAGACGTTCTTTTTGTGTAATTTTATTTCCCTCTTCCCTTAATATATATGACTTGAACAAATGTTGATAAGAAAAATAAAACCTATGGAAAAAAAAAACAAAAACAAATTTAGTACATAAGGCCCTTTTTAAAATATACTGTCAAAAGACGTATTGTACATTTCTTCAAAGTCCAATAAACATGTCATAAAATTTAAGTGTAATGCCCGTAAGAGCTATTTTTAAATATTTTAAACCTGTGTAATAAAGGAATAAATGTAATAGATTTTTTTTTTTTTTTTCAATAAATCAAGTTTACTGTTTCCACCTAAACCGACGTGATGTGAATGTCTTCTTGGAGTCGGTCGCAGAGGGATTTCCCCCTGACCCCTGAGCTCGGTGATGCACGAAGAGTTCGTCGGAGTGGTGCAAGGGAACGTGTGCTGTAAAGTAAGGAAAGAAAGACCTCAGAAGGAGGAGCTCCCAGGCCTGGAATGCTATTTCTCAGTGAGGATGGAGCCAGCAATGTGAAGGACTTCAGCTGTGTACCAGAGCTGTGACCATTGGCCGCCAGTTCTCTATAGCAATGGACCCGAGAAGCCGTTGCTTGGCATCACAGCCTGTCCTCGACTCATTTGCCCCTGAGGTGAAGCCAGGAAACAAAATGCAACTGCTGGCTGAGCTGCTGAGCTCCAAAGTCCTGCCTGCAGGTGCTGCTGGCACGTGGGGGGAAGCATCATGGGTGCACCTCTGCAATCTGTGCTCCTGGGATGTGCAAGAAGATGATGGCTGCTTGGGGAACTGCTGTAGGAAATTGCCCATCTGTCCACCAGCACCAACCTTGGCTGGTTGTGTACTGCTCTGGTTCTTCATGCAAAGACTGTTGGGTTGGTGCTGCTGGTTCACAGGTTGGAGAGATATCTGCACCTTGAAAGCACGTTGCAATGCAGCAGGTACCTACAAGAAATGTATGCATATGCATGCACCCAGCTCTGTGCACGAAGCTTTGCAATGACCGTGGCAAGCTGGGTCCCATCAACACCTCCCCTTCATTCTTTGGCTGTGAGTAGTGGTAAATCACAGGTTGAGGGAGCTGTGCAGATAAGGATTGCTTCAGGTAAGGATTGGTCTGGAAAAACTTGAGGTACTATGGCCGAATCCTCATCCAAACAGGCCCCAAAAAATGCAGTGGTACCACAGGTGGAGGAAGAAATCTGGAGAAAAACAGCACGAGTTACACAGCCCTGGCTGGAAAGATTGAAGCAAATGCTGAGAAGTTTGAAGGTGATGCTCACCTCGCCCAGGCTGCCTTCCCTCTTAGCCCTGCCATAGATCATTGCACTGCTGCAAACACTTCTCGTGAGCACCTCGGGGTCTCAGTGCTGAGAGCAGCTTTGATCTGCCATTAGGAAAAAGCAGAGACCTGAGCGAGGATCGGCTGTTTGTTGAGCTGCCAGATGTGAAAGCACGACGTATTTTTCAGCTCTTTTCCTATGACAAAGAATCCGTGGTTTGGTGTGAGAGCTACAGGGCAGTAATTCTGCCAAGTGCAGCTGGAGGGTAATTTTCGGAAGATCCACAACAGAAAGCAGCAGGTTACTGAAGCACGAAGATAATTCAGTTTTGCTTCATGCTCTGAGGTTCCCCTCTGGCCCAGCTGACCTCATCAGTGCAAACAGAAACCAGGACAGAATCAGGCAGTGGGCTCCCACATGTGCTGCATGCAATGCTCTGCGCCCACCCCAGCACAGGAGCAGCACTTAACCCAGAACAGCTGATTTCCCAGCTGCCATTAAAAGAGCTGAGCCTGAGCAGGGTGCAGTCTGAAGAGCATTTTCCCTTCAGCTCCCCAGATGTGAGGATGCAGGTACTTGCCACCAGGCTGTTTCCTAAGGTAAAGCATTAATTGTGGCTTGTTTTCTGGGTAAACCTGGAGTTTTTCTTTCTCCTATGTATTTTTTTAGCCCAATTTCTGGAGGAAGGGCCCAGGTCTCCATGGTGGCTGTGTGTCTGTCAGCTCCCTGGTGCTCAGCAGGGATGGATGTGAGGACAGATGCAGGGACAGGCAGAGTGATGCAGCGTGCCAGGAATGGGTGCATAAAGAGTTCAGTTCCATCTGCACCACCACGATCACACCCTGTTTGCTCATTGCAAGATACGCCAGCATCGATTGTGATGTGTCCTGCTCTATTATTATCTCTGGAAGAGATGCTGCTCCCAGCTCCTTAAATACCACGTTTGCATGAGATGGGTAAAAATACAACTGGCTAAAAAAGAAGTGGTGGCTACAGTTAAATTTAGAGACCAGATCCTGGGGGTTTGTTCCCTATGATCTCGTGAGTTTGGGCGAAAAATAAGTAGGAGAAAACATGTGAACGGGTGCTTTATATGAAAGGTTGGGCTTCCTGAGTGTAACCAAAGCCCTCCTGGGAAGGGGGAAACAGCAAAGAGGGGTGGGAGGCAGTCATAGGGAGGGAGAGGAATGAGCTCCAACATGGAGAGAATGTGAAGTGTTGGGCAGAAGGCTTTTGTGGTACAGAAGGCAAACTAGAATCACTCTCAGTGCTCAGCAACTTTCTGTCCAGTTTCTTCTCCCCAGCTTTGACCTGATTTCTTTTTAATAACTTCTCAATCAAATGATGTGAACTGATCTGACTTGCAGCTCCAGGCTAATAAATAAACCAGCCTTCTCTGTGGCCGTGAGGACACACAAAGGAGCTGCAGGTTCCTGGTAGCTTGCTTCCACCTGTGAGCTGAGCAGCTGAGTCCCCAGCAAAGCTCACCCAGTGCACAATGAATGCATCCCCTCCCCTTTAGCCTCTCACAGGTGAGCAATGCTGCTGCAAATTCTCTACTCTGCTTACCTACCAGCCAGCATTCCACCACATGTGTGGTTTCTAAGTTATCGTGATTTTTCACGTGAGTGCCCTGAGCAGGACAGACCTCAGAAGTTTCAGGTGCTTAGAGAGTTTCACAGAGCTTTTTGCTGTGTCTGGGTCCCACATCCAGCTCAGCTGCTGGAGCTGAGCCCACTGGGCGCAGCTGCCTCTCTGCTTTCCTTTTTAGCTCCTTTTTTTGCACAGTGCAAAAGCAGCAGGTGGGCAGCAATGCTTCAGCATAGAATTATCCATAAATCATCATTGCAGTGGGGCCTTGGTTTGTTTTCTTCCCTCTCTTAATTTCTACTCATGCATTTTTTTTCCCCCTTTCAGGCTATAGTGAGGTCGCTGCTTGGCAGCCCTTGCAGCCAACCTGGGATGCTGTTCTCAATATCTGCCAGCTATTCTGCCATTGCACTGTTGCACAACACAGCAAAGTCTTGGAGCTTTTTGAGGCTTAACTCAAGGTCTGAATTCAACCAGAAAGCACTGCTTAAGAGGAATTGATTTTCAGCCCATCTCTTTGCTACTGCTTCCAGCTGGGGGGATGGCAGCCTTCCTGCAGAACGGCTGCATTTGTACCCCTTCCAGAGTCAATGCAAGGAGAGCTTTGTTCCCAGCACCTTTTCTGGGCATGTAATCAACTTGCTGGATTTAGGTCTCTCACTGGGTTTTCCTTATGTCACTACACTGAAAGCTATTTTGCTTTTGATCCCCAAAGAGAGAAGAGCGTTAATGCTCTGTAGCTTTATTTATGGCACCTATTGCTATTTCATTTATTCCTTGTAACTTCTGGCTGCAGATTTTTCCATCCTGGGGCATCATGGCAGCAAAGTGATTTTCTCCAGAGGCACAAGCTCAATAGTTCAGGCAGGCCCTGTGTGTTTCTACCTTCCCAGCAAACAAAACTTAGCAATTTATGCTTGTATTAAATAAGTTTTCTCAAATAGCCCAGAGCAAAACTCAACACCCTAAAGAAATCAAACACGTGAAAACCCTAAAGAAGAAGCTGTTTTTCTTCTTCAGAGAGAAGCCAACACGCTTGTTTTTTTTAAAGAGATGCAGAACCAAGAGAGCTCTGAAGCGCAGAAATTACATCTTGTACAGCACAGGCTGTCACGCTCAGAGGCCCCCCAGCATCGCTGCTCGACACAGCTGAGCGCAGGGAGCAAATCTGCCATCCACGAGCCCTGCCTTGGGACTTAGTGTTCTCGTTCTGACTAATTATTACTGTGTTAATTTGACAAAGAGATGTTCCTCTTTGCAGGAACTTTCCAGCGCTGCGCTATTTTTTTTTTATTTTATTATTATTATTTTTTCTCCAGCTGCTCTTTAATTCTGAAAGTCTTCTATTCTCTCCATATCCTCATACCCTTCCATACTCTTCCCACAGTGTATCTGTGCTGATGGTGACCACCTCGGGATGCTGGGATGCTGCCTTATTGTGCCTGAGTTATGGTCTCAGGCTACAGAAATGTGCTGAGTTGCTGCCCTGGCAGGAGAGTTGGGTGGAGAAGAACCTGATGAGGTTCAACAAGGGTGTGTGTAGAGTCCTGCACCTGGAGAGGAATAACCACGTACATCAGTACAGGATGAGGATATGGATACTGAGTATGCATAGAGGATGTCCTGATGAAGAGGAGCTTTGTGAAGAAGGAGCTGGGTGTCATGGTTGACCCATGGCTGACCATGAGGCAGCACTGTGCCCTCATGGCCAAGAAAGTCAGTGGTTTTTTGGCTGATCAGAGATTAACCATGAGCTAGCAGTGTGCTCTTATGGCCAGAAAGACCAATGGTGCCCTGGTTGACCAACAGTTGACCAATGGTTGATCACAAGCCAGTAGTGTGCCCTTGTGGCTAGAAAGGCCAATGGAACCCTGGGGTGCATTACAAAGAGCACACCCAGCAGGGCAAGGGAGTTTCTCCTCCCCTCTGCTGTGCCCTGGGGATTCAACATCTGGAGTGCTGGGCCCGGTGCTGGGCTCCTCAGCTCAAGGCAGATATGGAACTGCTGGAGAGGTGGCAAGTCTCCTCCTCTGGTGATATTCTACACCTCCCCTGAACACGGTTTCTTTAGCAGGAGGTTGGTTGCACTAGATGATCTCCAGAGGTCCCTTCCAGCCCTTGCAATTCTGTAGTTCTGTGACATGCCTGCCTCCAGCCCATCCACCTGAGACCTGAAACATCCCCACTGCAGGGCAGATCACTGCCATCAGTGCGATGCTGAATTTCAGGAGCAGCCACCCGAAAGCTCAACATCCCTCTTTGTGCTTCGCCTTTCAAGCAGGCTGATCAGAGACTCTGTTGAAATGGAAATCAAAAAGCTGCCAGGCTTGGAACATTAATTAAGATACACAACAGGGAGAAACGCAGAGGGGAGCGTCTGATTGTGAGTTATCTGCTTGGAGAGGAAAGTGTTTGTGGATTCCATGTGCATATATCATTTTGGTGTGAATGAAAGAAATTGAATCCAACTACAAGGAAAGTTTGTATACCTCCGTGGATTTAATTTTCAAACTTGCATTGTGCAAAGATTAACCTTGCTGAAGGGCATAAGCAGAACAAGCAGAACATGTGAAAGTTAATCCCTGATATCAGTTTCTTCAAGAGGAAGCACCAAGCTGAGCTAAATACTTATTGTGTACAAATACCTTCTTCCTCCTCCCACTGCTTTCTTCCTAGCTCTGCATTGTAGCTGTTTCTGCTGAAGGCTCTGCCCAGCACGCCTGCAGGCCTGGATGCGCAGCACTCCTGCACAGTGTAGCTGTTGAGCAGCCTGCTATTGCTAAGGAATATTAATGATATTTTTGAGTAGGAACCTGTGTCCTTGAGCATGCATGGGTACAGATATCTCTGCCCCTTGCTCCCGCAGCTTCGGTTGCTACGAAGCCCTGCATTCACATCCAAGGAGTAAAGAGAAGGCACAGATTAGCCCAAAGCCTCACTGCTCTGTGGAAGAAAGCGTCAGGACTGAAGAATGCCTTTGGAAAAGCCATTCGGTTCCAGATAGCCTCTCTCATCTCTGTCTTTATGGGCTCTGTATTCTGAGCTAATTGCTCTCCTATCTATTCTGCCGTGGTGTTTATTACACCAAGCTCCTCTCTGTGCACCAGGAGGGACTGCACCAAGCAACCGTGTCCCATTGCTGCCAATGGGGCTCCAATATTGACCCTGGCACAGATCAGGAAAGGGACCAGCAGCGCTTCTAGCCTGCCACATTTTAGCTCTCCAGGGATTAATTAGTGCTCTTCTAGGGCCCAGAGAACTCCAGGAATGGTGTGTGTATTTTTAGTAGGACTGAGGGGGATGCATAACTCACTTCTCCATGCTTCTCTCCCTTATCTCTTTCCTCTCATTTCACGTCTGGCAAAACACAACCATTTCTATTGTGGAGTGTTTTCCAATCTAATTAGCTAAATGTTTTCACTGGGGTTTGAGACCCTTGGTTGAAAGCCAGCTGTTTGCTATTAGGCACTGCTAATAAGGTCAACCATGCTCTGGGCTCAAAATATTTGTGTGAAATGCTGCAGATAAAAGCAAGCAGGAACCCACACATAACGCCGCCACAGCATCTCCCTTTGCAGCCAGCTCTTGTGTGGCCATGGGGCATCCCTGACTCCTCGTGGCTGTGCATCCAGGATCACACAGTTTTCCTTTATCCTCCTCCTTTTGGGCTGAGGAATAATTCACTTGCTACCTTGTTTTTTATTTCATTTTTTAACTCGCTCCCCTCTGAAGATTGATAGCGCTTTACTGTAAAGGGGAGAAAATCAACTCATGCTGATCTATGGCCAGACGTTATTTCTTCTCGTGGACTCTCATCTGCAATTTGTTCAGCAGCTTTGAAATTAAAATTCTTTTGCAATCTCCCTAGATAGCTGAAAACACACCGTTATTGCCCTCTCTCAGATGCCTGCTCCCTTCGATCAGGGCATGGCATTATCAGCACCGTGCATTCTGCTTTGCATTCAGAAGTTTTGGGCTGTAAATAATGTCCCTGTGTGGCACAGGGAGGATTATTCAGGGCCGTTTCTTTTTCATTTTTTTTTTTCTCCTCTTTTCCTTCTTTCTCCCTTTTCCTTCCTATCTTTCTTTCTTCACATCTCAGAACGGGCTATAAATTAATCGCTGCTTTCCCCGTAGCAACCACCAACATGCAATATGGAGCTGATTGCTTCACACCTGTGATTTAGGCTCAGAGGTGACCCTGCAAATGGTGTTTAAAAAAAAAAAAAGCTTATTGTGTGCTGCCTGGGAGGCACAGAGCACAGTGCGGTCCTAGAAAGCAGCACAGGGTCATAGAATCATTGAATGACTTTGTTTCAACCCTCCTACTATATGTGCAGGGTCGCCAACCTCCAGACCAGGCTGCCCAGAGCCACATCCAGCCTGGCCTTGAATGGCTCAGGGATGGGATGACCATGCTCTATTCCCTCTCTATCCCAGAGAGGAATTCTCAAAACCTCAGTGCATCTCCATTGCTGTCCAGAGCGAATTAAAACTGGAGACCAAAAAACACCACCATCCAAAAGGTCTGTCCCATGGAGACTTTTCCTACTCTTCTGGGGTGGGTCCAACTCCCTTTTCTTGCCTGCATCTCTATTTATTTCCTAAAAGCCAAAGGTTTCATGTTGTTTTGTTTCTAATGGAGCTAATTGGATCGGTGAGCAGAGAAAGCTTTCAGGAGGAGCTGCTGATGAGCAGATAGCACACAGAGCTGGTGTGTAATCCCATCCTTACCCACTGCCTTGTTAAGATCCTTATTGCAGACATACACCCAGCTGGGCTTAGTATCAAGGTTTGTGCTTCTCTCCTCCTCCCTCCCCTTCCTGCCTTTTTTCTTTTCCCTCATCATATAATTTGCTGCCGTGTGCTGGAGGAAAGCCTCCTTTAACAGGTACACATGTTGCACTGAGCGACATCCTCAATTTAAATGGAAATTCCATCAATAACCATCTCTCCTCGTCTGGGAAAGGGCTTAGAAATATCATTCAGAGGTAAAACAAAAATAAAAAAATAAAAATAAAAATGAAAAGCCACAGTTTGAACCCTTTGGTACCGGAGCAGGGAGCAGGTGCTGTCCTCTCAGAAAGGCCAATTGCAGATAATGATCTGCCCGTTTGTTTGCAGCCAAGGGAGTGTAAATTATCTGCCTGAAATATGAGCTCAATAATCAAGGCTGAAAATGAAATGAAGGTGGGAGGAAATGGGAATCTCATTAAGTGGTGACCACTGCCACATCTTCCAGCGGCATTAAAAGGTGTTGGCTGAATGCAGGGGCCAATGTGGGGACAAAGAGGCAGAAACAGGAGCTGTGAGAGCAAGACTGAACAGGAGGAAGGTAGGAGCAGCAGCGTTTTCTTCTGACCACAGCAAGTTTGGGAGATGTTTTTTGCCTTGGAAGAGGGAGTGCAAGGGATATGAAGAGGTTGAGGTGTGTAAAGGGGCTCAGCACGTGCTTAGGTCCCATCTTCACCCCTTCCTTTTCTGCAGCCTTTTCATCCTGTTCCTTTTGCCTCTGTTTCTCACTATTTGTCCATTTGACCTCTCTGGGTCAGAGATCTTCCTGCGTCATGTAATGCTATGGAAGCCCTGAAAGCCATCCCCCAAGCATAACTCATAATGCAAAATGAATCAGAAGGAATATTTACCCATTTTTTTTTGTGTAGAATAGGGAAAAAAAAAAAAAATAAAGGCAAAATATTCTATTGTCCTCTCATCATTCAAAATTCCAGAAATGTTCACAAACAGCTCTTTTCTGGATGGAAAACTTTCCAAAATGAGAAACTTTCCCAGATGCTCACGTTGTTAAAAAGCCATTTGCTCCTAGGAGGGATACTCGGAAGCAAATTTTTCAGCCAGCTGTAAAAATAAATCATTGACTATTGCTTCCTTTGACTGATGAGATTTATGGGTGCTGTATGGATGATTTATAGAGAAGATCACTTAAAAATGCTCTCTTGGCTGTTCTCGATAAAAAGCATTGATGCTCTCTGTGCTGCTGCAGGGCCATGCTCTATTGCAGCAAGCAAGGCAAGGACCTCAAATACAGAATCAGCCTCACTGCTTGCAGTCTGTGTTTGACCACAGGGAAGAAGGGGGATGAGTGGGGAGATGAGCAGTGTGGGAATGCGCATCCCTCACTTCTCAGAGGCAGGATTCCAGCACCGTAGAGCTGGGAGTTGAGTCCCTTCCTGGGCTGACAGTGATCCATTAGGAGGATGGAGGAGGTCCAGCAGTGCAGAGGTTGTGTGGGATGTCACAGGGGATAAACGTCTCCTTCAGTTTGTATCTGGGTTGATGTGTTGATGTCTTTGCTGCTTTTCGTGGTCCCCATCCTCTCCAGAGATGGGAATAAGTCCCTGGTCCCTGTCCAGATCTGGGATTTAGCTGCTTTTCTAAATTTGTTGAGATTCATTTATGGCTGTAACGGAGCCTCTGCCTGTACGTTTAAATCCCGAGGAAGTGCAGCCTTGCAAATGTCTGATCACTTGTGATGAATAATTCGGGTTGACAGGCAGTCAAGTGAAGATGAGTGGCTTCTCTGCCATCCACATCTCTAAGAATACTTGGTGAGAAGTTTCCGTTTGCTGCAGCTGGTGACTGCACAGCTTGGGTTTTCTCTTCCTAACTGATCAACCCCAGAACAGGCTCAGGCAGAGCCTTTCCCCTCGTATTGTAAATTACAGCAGGATAAATGCATTACAGGGCCAAGCAGGCTGGGGCTGCTCCTGTGCTCCCTAGGCTCAGTGTCACACTCTGAAGACATCTCCAAGTCCATAGCAATGATAGCACAGAAGAGAAATAATATGAGTTCATCTGTGCCTGTCCCAGCTGTGCTTCAGGCCAGGCTGGAGGAGCCACCTGTTTGAAATAAAAGACTTTAAGGAGTGAAGGGATCAATTTCACCTGAAGCTGTTTTTTTTTCTCAGATGCTGAGGATTTACTTTAGTGCCCATCCTCAGCAATGGATTCAGCATGAAATACTGCATGAGGGAAGAGCATCTTCATTCACTGAATAGAGATTTGAGGGAAATCAGTGCTTCCTGAGGAGCACAGGTCTAATGGAAGACCTCAGCACCCTCAGTCTGTGCATGGCATCTACTGACGTGTCCTTCTTATGGAAAAATAAAGCCTACTGAAAAATAAATAAATACCAGGCCTAAAATAAAACAAATTGAAAAAAGCAAGTGCTCCAGTGAAGGGAAGATGCTGGAGGGTTCATCTGCTGGTAGGGTTTTGGAGCAGAACCCATTCCCTGTGCTGGATGCAATGGCCATAAGGGCTGGAAGATTTGCTTTGCCCTAGGGCACACCAACCCAAAGATGTGGTGGGATTTGGATGGAAACAAGGAATGAGGGAAGTTTAACTTATTCAATAGTTAATTATTCAGTAGTTTGTTAACATGCTATCAATTATGACAGGTGTGCCAACAGCCACAGCGCAGCGAGCCCTGGGAGCAAGGTTAGAGCTTGTAGGAGCATCCCCAGTGCCAACGCATGACCTTGCTAAGGGCTGCAGTTAATGCAGATTCAACAAATAAATAAACATTTGTAATAGGTCTGATACCTGACCTCATCCCAACGGTGATCACTAACAGAATTATTGACCTAACCGTTTGCTGTTGGAGAATTTTGGAAATGCCAGGTGGGTGTTCATAAATCATGCAGTACCGCTCATTTTTCTTCCTGGACTCAGCCCGATGCTGGGGCTGTGTAAATCATGGTGTGCAGAGCCTTGATGGGGTGCCATAAATCTCAGAGCTCTCACCTTCTTTTTCTTTTTTTTTTCCTTTCGTCTTTAATGATTAAAGCTCAAACAGAGAGCAAGAAAGGCTGAGCCCCTCCACGAGCTCTGAGTTTTTGGGAGGTTTTGGGGGTATTTGCTATATTTTGGACTCCTTGTCCAGCCTGAGCCACAGGGCTGCCTAACCCCAAGAACCCAAACAGCAGCAAAATCTGAGCTGAAGGGCTGTTGGGAGTATTGCTGTCAGGAAATTCATGCTGAGCACCACGTAAAACCAAAAAGACCCTTCCTTGTATTTTGGTTTCTGCCTTTCGTTCCGAATTAGGATGAATGAGATGATCAGAAGGAGATACGAAGAGGATATTTAAGGGCCGGTCCAAATGGTTTTAGAAATGAGTCTCGGGGGGAAGGCAGTTATAAAAATTAAGCCAATTGGATTGACCATGGGTTGTTTTCCCTCTTCATGAGGAAGCACGCAGAGGTAGATAATTAAGGCCAGTGCAGATGTAAGGATTAGTATTCCCGGCTGCTAAGCCCACAGTTTTAATTAGTCACTGGGTCTTTCTGCAGGGCCATGTTAATAGACAAGGGTGTGGTGACCTTTTCCTTTGTTTTTTTTACCAGGTTCATTACAGCCCTGCTTATTGCCAGGAAGCATTACAGCTTTGTGCTTGCAGCAGTTTTAAAGGCAGATGAAAGCCATCGTACCAGGGTACCCCAGAGGCACACCAAGTGCATCATCCCAGGTGAGAACTCCTTGGTTTCTGTCTTGCTTTCCCAAGTTTCGTGCTGCTGTGCTCCATGCCTTGCGGGGATGTAGCAAATCCAGCAAAGCTCTTGGTGTCTGATAAAAATCAATGTAAGCCAGAAGGACATTACTGCTCTTGACACAAGAAGACACTCAGCCAACTTTCTCATAAAACAACAGAATCACAAAATCAAATGATTTTGTAGTAGATTGGATGAGACCTTACAGACCATCTGGTTCCAACCTCCTGCCACGGGCAGGGACACCTCCTGCTGCAGCAGGATGCCCAAAGCCCATCCAGTGTGGGATGTATGTAGAGTGCCTGAACTGCTTAGCAAACCATTGATTTCTTGGGTTTATTGATGCACAACGATTATTTGTGGGTCTTTGAAATGGAAGTATCTGCCTCATCCCTTTTGTAATTGTGTCGATATATGTACCTGACTGTGGTAAATCAGACCAACCTTGTGAAACCTCTGCTGTTACACCATGTAAATGAGACCAGGATCATGCCAAAACCTGGCAGTAAATGAACTGCAGCAGCAAAAGCAAGTTTAATGGCTGTGTACTGCAATTTAATGGATATGTGCAGCCCTTGTTTTATTACCAGGTTTTAGGAGAATAGCATCCATTTAATTGACTTTGATAGAAGGAGGTCTCCTCAGTACTGCAGACTAGGGCAAAACCAATCATGAATATAATTAAGGTATTTTCTTCCAATATGTATTTTGTCTTGCAGTAACACCTGCCCTGCATACCTTGCTGGCTGCAGGAGCTCTGTTCCCTCCTCTGTTATGGGGAAGAGCAACCCAACACATTCAGGTCTCTCCAGCCAAGCATCCCACAGGTGCTACAGCCAGAATGCTGTAGGCTTCACACGTTTGTCTCAATCAAGTACAATCAGTGACAGCATCAGTTGCCCTCAGCAATCACACCCAGAGCTTTCTGAGCTTCTCTTGGTGCTGGGATGATTATACTGGAGCAGGATGAGCCACAAGGGCCGTTGCTGAGGTTTAGGACCCAGTGTACACCTCACTATTCTCTCCAACCAGAGAAATGGTTTTGCCGTGGCTGGCAGGCACTGCATTTCAGTTCAGAGTGGGGCCATGCTTCTGGGATCCTTCATTAACAAAAACAAGCTGAAAATAAATGCCAAAACGTAGGACAATTATCACGCAATTAATTTCAGTCCTGTCACCATAACATTCTGTTTGACCTTATTCATTGTTACTTGATCTTCAGCTCGTTAATATTTCAGGTGACCTTTGGGGCTGGGAAGAAGCTGCAGTTTTCCACTAGCATCCATGAGTCAACACGAGCATCAAGTCACAGCAGCACGCCAAACCTCATTTATCATTCCATTTAAGGTGTCAGCAGAGCCATTATTCAAATGGATGGCCACACATGCAATCAATCTTTAATGAGACAATAATTGCACCTTCCACTCTGCAAGACCTCTGCCTTTCTTAAAGGTATCTTGTGTATTAATTATTGAAAATGTCTGTGTTTTACCAGCAGTAAGTTATGTTTCACCAATTGCCATCTTTCAAGAGAGTTTTAAGTGGGAAATTTATGACTCTCGAATTCACTAAGGAAAAAATAAACAGTAGATACTGTTCTTTCTCTTGCTTTAGCATTTCTCGTGATTCTAGTGGGGTTTTCTATCCAGCCAGAAACACGGAAAGATGGTCCCAATGGGATCCTTGGCAGTAAAGAGAGAGAGCATGTAGATGCCACCCACAGGTGGTACTTTTGAATGTCACTGTGCAAAACACTCCTGTTCTGTAACAGTGGTCTTTGTGGCAAAGTCAACCAAAAGAGCCGCAATATGTTCCCAAGCTGGGATACCTCAGGGCTGCCTGTGTCTCTTTCCCCTTGAAAGATATTCAAACTTGCTTTATTTGCCAAAATTTGGGGGGATTAAATTCTGATACATGTGGTAGGAAACAGGGCTTGCACCAGGCGAGGCCCCCTGATTGCTTTTGCCACATGAAAAGCCGCTGCTTTTACAGACTGATTTGGGGTTGGGATGGTGGGATTGGAGTTGGGATTGGAGTTGGGATTGGCTCACTCTGTGTGTGAGTTGGCCTTGAATCCAAGGGGAGGTGAGCCAAAAGGTTGAGTGCTGGCAGGATCCGGAACCTGATAAATCTCATTGTCATTTAAATTTTTATTAAAATGAAAATTCTTATGCGTTTATTGACTCTGAGGCTCTTCTCTTCCCAAAGGAGACTCAAGAGAAAAATGCAACTGGCTGTGAGCTGCCTGGTTGGGAGGTAAATTGCTCAGCCACAGAGCAGTGCTTTGGGAAGTGAAAGAAGTGATGGTGGGATAAGTGCCACTGTTGGTGGTGTAACCTCTGTGGGTTTCAGAAATGGCAGCAGTGCTCTGTTCTTAATGCAACTACAGGGAAGTTAAAATTAAGCAAGTTCCTATTATTAGTTTTTTTATTGTTATTAATATCTCAATATTTTATTATTCTTTATATGTTTTTTCCTCACCGTGATTGCAACTCTTCAGCTGGGATATTTTGTCTTCTGTTTATTCCTGGAATCACTGGCAGCTCAGTTGGAAAAGGATATTGCAATGGCCTGGTACCCTGAGCTGTTTGCACTGATGTCCCCACAGAGGGGACACAGAGAGCTGGCTGGGAGAAGAAAATGAACAGTTCTATTTATGCAGCACGTAAATGATCACGGAGCAAGGTAAGTATGTTAACAAAGAGCCTCTGCTTGCAGCAGCTGTGACAAGGCTGTGTCTTGGGGAGCAATCTCTCTTGCTGTTAAGTTTCCCTCTGGTTCCTATCGACTCTCTGTGCTGCACCAGGGCAGCTCGTGCATTGTACAACACAACTCTTATGCGTCGAGCAACACGTTGTGCAGGTAAAGCTTCAAGCACAGTGCTGTTTACTTTTATCCTCTCTTTCCAGAACGATTTCCATTTGCCTACATTCTTTCCTGCTCTCAGCTGCCCCAGGTCAGGGTCTCCCTGTGCTGAGCAAGGGCACAGATCTGGCTCATGCTAGAGGGGTGATGCATTGCTGACATCCCATGGCTGACACCCAGGTGGGCTCGCAGCCCTGGCCATAAGGAGCTCTCCTGGAGCAAAGCCCTGGAGCATTGCAGCTGGTAGGGAAAAAAAAGCCATTAAACCCTTCTGCCAGCACAGGATTAGCTAGTGCAAGGTTAAATCTCACTTCTTAAAAGGCTGGATTGCAGGGTGATAAATGGCAAGGCTTCCTGTATTGTTTGCTAATTAAGTGTTAGAATCCTTTTGTATTAAGGGGAGGGAAAGGGGGAAAGATAAGAGAAGAGGGATGCCCTGTTCCTTCTGTACATGCTGAGCTCCATTCATTGTGAAAGGATTTATAGTTTTCATCATAATCTAATTCTAAAACATATCACTTAATTAAAGGGATTTATTAAAAATCCCCTGGCAATGCTTTTTTACGATTAACCCAGGAATCAGCCCTTGAATGTCATGGAAACAATTCATCAATTGATTTGCTTAACTGCACAGTCTCACCCCTCCCCGCTCTGGACAGAAGAAAGGTATCTATAGACCAAAGCTCAAAAATCTCAAGGATGGATCAGATGCTGATTCCATCCCTTTTTTTTTTTTTTTCCATTCCCTTCCTCGTACCTTTGGGACTGGTTTACGAACCTTTGTTAATGAGCTGATTAACAGTGATGATGGAGAGCTCAGCTATATGTCTGTCCTATGGCTGTGGGCACGGATGGGCAGTGCTCACTGTGATGTGCCATGTGGGCTCTGCAAGACCTGCATCCAACCCAAGGAGATCCATCAGTTGTAAGGGGGAAGAGATTCCTAACTGCACCGCTGAAGGCAAAAGCTTGGGACTGTTTCTAGGCTTCTTGAATTGCCTCAAGGCTCCAAATATTGAAGGGGAATGAGAACACAAATGGGTTGTGGATCAGCATCTGCCTTCTTCATCCTTTTTGGAGAGGAAGAGACCCATTCAGGGGACTCTGAGGCAGCAGCACATCACTCCATGGTAGTCAGCTCACTGTCGCCAGCCCTGGCCGCTGCCATTTGTCTCTCTCAGAGTTATTCTCTTCCCATTTGAACTTCGGATAAAATGTCTCGAACCGCTCTTCTCACAACCCATAAATCCTCCCTTAACCCAAGCGGAGAGCTTGGGAGTCTTATTAAAAAACTCATGAGTAAGTTCAGACCTTCCCCAATGACTCTGTGCCTGCAGCCTTTTAAGTCTTCCACGGTGAAATCAGGAGTTTCAGTGCCGACTTTGGCATTGCTCCCCAAGCTAAAGCCTCGTGCTGAATACAAAGCAGCACTTCAGGGCTCCATCTCCAGATCCTCACATCAGGCTTAAATGCAGTATGTCTTTGGATGTAGCTGTCTATTAGCCCTGTTTATTAGATCTGGAAGGACTGGTAGAGAGAGAAAAGGGAAAAAAGCCCGCAGAGGGAATGCTCTTTCTGTTCAGCACAAGATGTGAAGGGGACTGAAGGTGAAATATTACTTCAGGAGATGCATTTATGATCTGCCCACGCTGATATTTTAATTGGCCCCTGCATGTTAATAGGAGGTGATTCCAGCACTGGTCTTTTTCTTTTTTGCCTCCACCTTCTCAGCTGCAAGGAGCAGCTCTTCTCCAAGTCAACCAGCCTATAGGCTCAGTGTTTTAGGTGGCATTTAAGAAAGTTCTGAAATTGTTTGGAAAAACATTTCTCACCATTCTCATAGGTTTTGTCCCCCTTAACCTGCGTGACCCCCTCCTGTTTGTACTCTCCCAACATTTCACTCCAGCTCGTGATGCTCTGACAGCAGTACCTATGACCAATGTGTTCAGAGCCATGCGACCCTATTTCCAGTTGGACCCAGCCAGCAGGCAGGACTTGTCTTCTGACACCAGAAGGCAGACACACGAATCCCATCTCATCAGCGCTTTGTCCCACATCCTATGCTTCCACACTGCAGGAATGGCCAAATTTCCTTTGCCCTTGTCTCTGTGGGTCCCATACCCTGGCTGGGCTGGCCAGGATGCTCGTGGGACTCCATCTTCTGAGTCCTGGAGAAACTGCTGACCACATCGTTCCTCCTGGCCCCTTGGAGGTGTTTTTTTCCCAGAGTTTTCAACTCTCCCTTCTGTTCTGTTGAGGAGTGAAGGTTGCTGGTGTAGCAGTTCATTTGCATTACAAAATGTGAGCTGTTGTCCTTAGGCTTATGAAGAGCTGTCAGAGGACTGAATTAAAGCGCAATGCCCCAAGTCCCTCTTGGTTTGTATTTAATTAAGGCTTTTCATTCATCATTTATTTCTGCATCCCATCTTCTTTGGTAGTTTATCAAAAAAGAGAAAAAAGGTTTTCTCCTGACAAAGATGCTGATAAGTGTTTTCTGAAGGCAACAGGCTTCTCTGCTGCCCGCACTTCTTATTTCTTTAACACATGCATATTTTTTTAATGACACAGGCACTTTTAATTTACTTTTTACAAAGAGAGTCCAGCCAAATTTACAAGAAACACATGTATATATATAATGTGTGTGTACATATATATATACGTGTGTGTATTTTATTGTGAGTCTTACAGCTGTAAGTGCTGCTCCCAGTATTGGTGCCCAGCGCCCCTGAGGGACAGAGAGCTGCGTATGGCACTTCAGGTATAAAATTCACAGCCATGAAGAAGAGGCATTGAGAAGTCTGTCTGATTCTTTCCAGGTGCTGCTCTGTGCAGGAGCTCCCATCTTCCCTCAGCACGTGTCCCTGTGTGAGATCTGGAGTCTTTCAAGTCTGGATATGGGAGTGATGCTGTGCACAAGCCTTGGCTTGGTTTCTGCAAAAGCTCATTCTGAAAAGAAGGGGTTTTTATATATCCTCCCATCTTTCCTTCTGCTACACAAACGTACTCTCTCAGTGCAGATAATTAAACATGCTCACACATCCCCAAAGCAGAGCAGCTCAGGTGTGACCAAACGTGCCCGTTCCTGCATTTCACCCTTTGAAAGCTTCACAAATCAAAGAGACTCACTTTCAGACAGTGATGAACTGCTTACGCTCCCATGTGTTTGCTTGGAGTCCTCCTTTAAGAAAATGTGAATGTTTTTGCTGGCTGTGAAAGTGTGGGGGAGATGCTCCAGTCCTCTCGAGGTGTGAGGAGCAAGCTGGCATCCATCTCCATCCCCATAACGCTGCACTGGGGGTTCGTAGCCACACTCCAGGCTGTGTGGGTATGGAGCTTTGTCACAACACTTCATCCCAGCTTGGCTGGATCCCCTTTCCTTTTTAAACCCCAACCACTTTGCTTCTGATCTGACCTGCTTCATCTCTCTGGCTCTGTCTTTCCCTGTGATGGCTGCTGCATGTGATTTGCTTTTACGTGGGCCTAAATCTGGACTGATGATCTGCCCCATCCCCTGAAGAGCTCTATCACAGCGATGACATTTCAGAGCCAGTGCATCACTACACACAGACTTGCCGATGCACTTCCTCAGCTCCCCTCCCTCCTAACAATGCATTACTTAAGAAAATTAAAGCTGAAGCAGGTATGTGACCATCCTTCTGATTCAGGGGGCTGTGCACCAGAGACATTGCTGGAATAAGGAAGGCTAGCATTGCCTTTGCTCAGATCCTTCTGGCAGCACTTATCAATTATTTGGGTCCGCATTATGAAGCAAAGGCTCTGTGCCATGACACCAGTTGTTGCTGACAGCTGGAATCTCAGGGCCCCTTGATCATGTGGGCTTTGCTACTGGGGACAAATAGGAGTTTTCTCCTCTCCTTTGCTGTGTGAGCAGGAGAAAGGTTTCCTTACCCAGGCTCACCCAGGGCTGCTCCTCCTGCACAGCCATCACACCACAGAGTAACAGGAGGGAGTGGGAGATGGGAGAAGAGCTCTCCCATGGCTCTGCAGCAGGAGATGCTCTGCTTCTCCTGCTCTGCATTTAGCTGCCTGCTGAGCTGGCTCCCAGTGAGAAACAGTCGGGGAGGGGAAAGCAGGGGGCACCCAGGTGCTTGTGCAGCAGTAACTTATTTATTTAGAAATCAGCAAGGCGTGTTTGCTCTGCAGTGCATCTGAACACAGCAGGGGTGAGGAGAGCTGAAGAGAGGAGAAAATGGCATATCTCAACCAATTTTAACTCTTCCCTCTCTTCTTTTAGACGCACTTACAATGGTGAAATGCTTTGCACCCAATATGCAACATGCCACATAATGGTCTGGGCAATAAGACATAAGAGTTGTGATTATGCAGCACTGCTTCATAGCCCAACCAAACAGAGGTTAACCACATTCCTGGCTGCAGGCTCACCCCAAATCCCTGCTGCAGTTCCACACTATAGGAACTTGGAAGGCAAACACAAGAGAGAACGAGTGAAAAAGGCCCATTATGGTTTATTTGTTACAGCTGCAGGAATATGGTGGAAAGCCTGTGAGCCTGAGCTCCTTCTCTGCCTTTGCATATTGTCCTGCAGGGCAGGGCTGAGCAAAGCAGAGCTTTTACTGCTGCTTTCCTGAATGTACCTGTTCAGAGGATGAATAAAAAGCGCTTTTCTCAGTGCTGTCAGCTGGGCTCCTTTTACTAGCGAGTTGTGCTCATTTTGCTCTGATACTTAACAAGAGCTTCAGCAGGCAGAAGCCATGTACTGCGCTTTCTAAATAGACCCCTGCTCAGCAAAGAGCTGGTATTAGGGAAGCACTGAGGCTAAGGCGGGTGTTTACACGAATTTTGGAGCAGAAGCTGCACGTTGCTTTGAGAATATACAGCCAAGCTCTGCTCCCCAATGCAGAACTGAAATTGCCCTCTTCGGAGACAGGGTCACATTGTATTTTGTAATTCAGTTTCCAAATACACAGAGTGCTTGCAGCCAGGTTGCAAAACATTCACCTCGCTGTTAATCTGTGACACAACCTCACCTCCAGAAAGGCACCTCTAGGGGAAGAAACAGCACATTTCCTTCAAAGTGCTTCTTCCCTCTCTCTATTCTCATTGTTTTTTTCTTGTTCTCTGAAGGCATCCAGTGGTATTGATTGGAGGCGGGTCCTGAAGATTGTGCTGGGAGGGGAGGGCACAGGACTCAGCTCTGTGTGCACCTATGATGGAATGCTTTGCTTTTGGAGAAAGGGCAAGGAATGCAGAAAGGAGAGGGCTGTGGGGAGCCATGCTGCCCCTTGGCACAAGTTCACCCCATGAAACACACAAACTCCATCACAGTTCAGGAATGCAAGATGGTCTATGGACAGGATGGCAGAGACGGAGGATGCACTATGGACAGGATGGCCAGGATGCAGGCTGTGTTATGGACAGGATGGCTTGAAGGATGCTCTACAGACAGGTTGGCCAGGATGAAGGAAGACATGCAGGCTGATGGCTGCCACTTGCCAGGAGCACTGGAATTGCTGCGCCGGCACAGAGCTGGGCTAGCTGGCTTTAATTGTGCTAAGACTCTGATTGATTCCTTTTTTTTCTTGTAGCTCATTACCCAGCAAGTCATTTTAATTAAAACCGTCTAATATTGGTTGAGATGTATTTTGCAAATGTCAGCACTCTTAATTTTTTTTCCCCCTCTGTGGACCAAATGTGGAAAGCTACAAGAGGACAGTGCTAAATGATTTCAGTTGATTTAGCAGTGGCAAAGCAAGTCGTTAGCAAAGTGCTTTATGAAGCCATAAAAGTCCTTTCCAAGTCCTTTATGGGATTCTTGGGGAAAATCCGTTTGTCACAGAAGATTATGCACTGAGTGCTCCTCACCTGAAGAACAAATGGGTGGGAGAAGGCACCTGCATCTCACCTTCAGGCACAAATGACAATGCATGCCCCCAGGCAGCTCTGCTTGCCCAGGTTCTGCGAAGCTGGCGGGTACAATAGAAGGGAAGATGCTGCACTGTCTGGGACAGATGGTAGCATCATTGCCATGTGAACCACTGAAAAAAAAGCCACATCAAGAGCAAAGGAGATGATGGAGGCAGCGACCGTGGACTGTCCTGCTCCCCGGGGTCTCATTTAGCTTGGTTGTGGAGACAATGTACTCAGTGATTTGCTGCTTCCAAAACACTCTGAGCCACCAGATCTAGTCTGATACTCCTTGCATAGAAATGGCACATTCATAAACTGGAGGTTTTGTGTAAAGGCTCCTCCTTATTACGGTGGATCAGCAGACTGTGTAAAACCTTTGAAAAACAGGCTACTATGCAGATCATGTCTACCAGCATGTGCAGAGATGTGTTTTCCGATACATGCCTCTAAAACTGGTGGTGTGCTGGCCCTGAACGTGAAATACAACAGGTGCTGTGCTCAGCATTGTTGTCTCTCATCACCCACAGGTGTGAAACGATCTGTAATATTTAACATTTATTCGGCAGACAAGATTTAATGCAGACTTGAAGCACAAGGCTCGTTGTTTTCCTCTCCCTTACATTTGTACAATTTCATTGGCTTCAGTTCAAGCTTCATTAGGAACAGGCTATTACGCACAACAGCCAAGGATGTATGGCTCATAACGAGCACTGGGGTTTGAAGGTTTCCTCCTACTAGGTACCGCGAGCCAAGCCTGTAAAGCTGCTACAACATCATCTTTTTTCATTCATTGCCTGTGAATGGTGGAAAGCAGCATGAACTGCATGGTGCTGGGCTGCCTGGCTCTCTTGCTCATCAGCAGCCCTCACCCTGTGCCTGGTTATCTCCTTATCTCCCAACTCCAGTGGGCATCTCAGCTGCTGGCTGAGCAGCTCCATGCTGGAGATGTACTTGACCTATATAAAGGAGCCTAAGCTTTAACCTTCAGTTGCTTCCTTAGGGGCACACGTGTTCCCATCTCCAGATTTCTGTTGATTTGTAATTTTGGGTAATGGAGAGCTGCATTGCCCCGGAGATCTGCAATGCACATCACTTCCCATTCCTTAGCATTTCTCCCCCATTCCTGTCTGCCCAGCAAATGTGCTGATTCTAAGAGGAGGGAAGGAGAAAAGAAGCATCGTGAGTACGCTGGGAGGCTGAATCTTACCCATCCGTGGAGAAGTGGTAACTTCCTTCAGGGAGAAATGTTCTCTGAGAGCTATAAATGGATCTTTTCTCTGTTTTACTCCATGGCAATTACTTCCACGTGGCCAGCAGAAGGGGGATGAGCCGTTAATATTTTAGTCTCTCAGCTCAGCATACCGCTCATCTTAGCGCCTGGCTGGGAGCTGCAGACCCAGCACAAAAGGGTTTCTTTGCTGGCCTTTGTAATGCAAAACGGATTCCTTTGTAATAAAACATAGGAGCCCAGAGTCCTCGCAGTTGAAATCTCTGCAGAAGTCCTTTTAGTAGCTGATTTGGGGGTCACGGCACACTATTAATGTGGTAGACTGGAAGATACTGAAATATCTTCCTGATTGGAGGTGGCTGAAGATTACAGGATCAGAGAGGAGTGATGTCCAGGTGAGAAAGTAACCAGGACTCCCAGCACAGTGTTGGCACAGGGCTGCCCACCCTCGGGGAGGTTGGGAAGGCGTATATCTATGAGGACAGCCAAGGAGAAAAAAAGGGATCTTGGAGGAACTTTTTCTCGGCATCAGCACTCTGAGAGTTGTGGGTGAGATGTGCAAATGAGATTGATTCATCATTCTACGGGGAGTTGGATGCATTTAATTTATTCTCAGGCATCTCTGTAGCACTCACATAAAGCTGTGCAGATGTATGTGGTGCAGCCCTTCACCCTGAAGCTCCAGGAGTGGCAGCTCAGCAAACTGCTCCGTGCTGGGTATTTCATTGCAAAAGTACAGCATTCCCAGCTCTGCGCTCCAGGTATGGACACGCACATGTGCCTG